GCTTTGCTGTTGCCTTTGTTTTTGTACGTCTGGCTGTCTGCCCATCTGCCGCCTCTTTGTTTGTCCTGTTTCCTCCGTTGCACCCACACCCTGGTGGTGCGTAGTGCCTGGTGCTGGTACGTTACCGTTTGATTTTTTCTGAAGGCGGGTGTGGCAAGCGTCCTCTTAAATTTTTGTTTTTGTTTTATCTTGATCGGTTTCCATGGGCTCTTTTCTCGAACGGTTGGTGCGATACCTGTTCTTTTCGTTCTATCATTTTTTTTTCTTTTTCCGAGTGGTTTGTACCCTATTTTTGTTTTGTTTCTTTCCCGCGGAGTCGTATGTGCCGGGTTTTGAGACCACGGGCTCTCCATTTTTTGTGGACTATATAGAGCTGACGTGAGAAACAACAACAACAACAACAAACACCATTGTAAATTTTCACCCGATGGGCACTCAAACTCACGACCTCTTCGACTAGCGGATTACGAGGATACCACCATAGACCACCGATGCGACCTCGCTCTCGATAATGTACTGTACTAACGGTTTAGTACGGGGTTTCGGCTGGTACTGTACTCGACCCAGTACAGTATTTCACCCGCGATACTGTATTATGTACTGGGGTTTTAGTAGTACGGCTCTCGGTACTGTACTAAGCGCAATAGTACGTTTAGTACAGCTTCCCATACTGTACTGTACTATGGGTTTAGTAGGGCTCTCTATACTGTAAACCAAAAGTACGCGTACGCTATAGTACTACCAGTACTTCCACCACAGGGCGTGTTGGTGACGTCATCCTTCGGCAGAAGGCGGGACAGTCATACAGTCTCGTTCCTGCTGCGAGCTGAGAGTGCTCGTACTGGCGTGCTCGCGTACTGAGGGTACTGGAGTAGTGGCCCGCAGGGGATTTGGCAGCCATGAGTGATGCAAGCAGTGGTTCTGGTTCGACCGTAGCTCCCGGTGCGGGTAGTCCCGCACCGGATCCCTCAAACCAAGAAGAGGCGCAAGAAAACCAGGTGGTGGTGACCGGCTCTACGAGTGGAGGAGGTTCGCAGCCGTCGGTGCGCATCAACGAGCCCGCACCGATCTTCGACCTGAACGGAGAGGACGTGCCGGCGGTTACGAAGAACGCCATCGAGACGTTTAAAGCGCCGAACGGCTTCTAGGTGGAAGGAACCCTTGAGGATTCCTTCCTGTTCGGCCTTGGAAACTACTGCGTGTCAAGTGGTGTTGTGAGCAGGACATCGGCAGACAACAAAGCTTGGTTCATATGCCAGGTTGGCACGTGCCGGACGGCGAAAGGAGGCAAGATAATCCCGTGCCCAAAGGGGAATAAGAGCAACGTCAACAACCACATGCGTAGATCGCACAATCTGATCGGCACCAAGGGAGCATCGAGGCAAGAGAGGGCGCAAAACAGACAAGGAAACATCGTCGCCGCCATGTCGGCGGCCAAGACTTTTGGCGTTGGAGCCCGAAGGTTTGTTGTTGTTGTTTCTCACATTAGCTCTAGTCCACAAAAAATGGGAAGCCCGTGGTCTCAANTGTTGTTGTTGTCTTCACATTAAAAACCGTTCCGATCTCTCTCTACCCAGTACCTTCGTATGTCCGTACTGATCCAACACTCGACGCGGTCGATTCGCGTGGTTGCAGGCTTAATTACCCTAAAAAGGTACACTCAAATAAATGGCCCCGAGGGGTCCGCAAGTCAATAGAAATCATCGACAGATATTCTGGAGTCCTCCACTCCCTCTGCGCGCTATGCGAGGTAACAACTGAGACTTGGGGTCACCATCACGGGCCGGAGAGAATGAGGTACACCCCCTTGGTTCAATCTTGGTACTTCACAACGCAAGCAGAAACAAGGCCATCTGGCACAGAAAAAGAGAGAAAAAGAGAACAAGAGAAGAAGCGAAGAAGATAAAAGGAAACAGTAAGGAAAGAGAAAAGGAAATAAAAAAAGCGAGGACAAAAAGGGACCAGGCCGAAAATAACAAGAAATAAGAGACAGAAAAAGGCACACGGTGGAGAGACCACTAACGACAAGCAAACACGCAAACATGACCACCAACCAGCGATACATTGTAATGGTACGTCATCACTAGTAGTGGGGGGTTGGTGCAATGGTTCAGCGTTGGGGGGGGGAGAATTGGCGAAAATAATTTCAATCCGGCACGTATGGCGCCACTCGGTCCGTCTCTTCTCGTTTGCTTTCTTCCCTCGCCGTCTCGTCCGTCTCCTGCCCCCCTCCCGCCCCATTGGTTGGTGGCTTGTGGTTTCGTTTGAGCGCCCGTTGTCGGCTGGCCTCCTCTTCCTTCTCGTGCCAGGAGGTCATGAACCTCTCAGCTCCCTGCAGCACCGCCGCATGCCAGGGTACTCCCCCCTCTACCTTCGCGGCTTCCGTCCACTTTAACTTCGGTGCCGTGTCTTTCGGTACCGGGATTCCGAAACAACATGGATCGGTTTTCGTAGATCCGTGGTCGGCCCCGAATGCCTTCAGGTCGTCGAGCACACACTTCGGCCAGTTCTGTTCCTGTCCCCCCCTACGTCGCTTCTCCCCCCCTGCCAGTTCGCCGAACATCAGTCGTTTCGGGAGTCGCCCGTCCGGCTGCCTTGCCAATGCTCCCGCGAACAGTAGGCGTCGTTGTCGGATCGTGGCTTCAACGCTCTGGCATTCGACCCTCTTCAGCGTCTGGGCGTAAGAGAGCTGCCGGTAGGTGTCTTTCTTGCGCTTGTACCCGATAACTCGAAGGAGCAGTCGGTGGTGTATCGACCGCAGCGTCTGATAGTGGCCGCTGAGTGGTGACCATGTCATGCAACCGTACAGCAGTGCCTCCATCGCCTCCGCCTGGAGCAGGCGGATCTTGAGTCGGAATGGCGCTTGCGGTCTGTCGAAGAGCTCCCGGCCATATCGCCTGAGGCACGCCCACGCTCCTCTGCTCCTGTAGTTGATCTCCCGGGTGAGGTCGCCATGTTCGTTGACGAGGCCACCGAGGTACCGGAACTCGGTCGTCTGGGCGAATTTCCGTCCCGCGGCTTCGATGGTCAGTGGTGGAGGCGGTACGGGCTGATGTTGTAGTCAGCTTGTCCTTTGCGCGCATCAGGAGCGTCTCCGTCTTCTTCTCCGACACCGTTAGCCCGAACTCCCCGAGCACCTCAACGATGAAGGGTACAAACCACTCGGAAAAAGAAAAAAAATGATAGAAAGAAAAGAACAGGTATCGCACCGACCGTTCGAGAAAAGAGCCCTCGGAAACCGATCAAAATAAACCAAAAACAAAAATAAAGGAGGACGCTTCCTACACCCGCCCAAAGAAAAATCAAAGGGTAACGTACCAGCACCAGGCACTACGCACCAGGGCACGGGAGTAACGGAGCAAACAAGACAAAGAGGCGGCAGATGGGCAGACAGCCAGACGTACAAAAACAAAGGCAACAGCAAAGCGAGATCACGGTACCCAACACAGCAGAGTAGGCAGGGAGATAATGAACAATAGAAACAAAGAAACACAGCACAGAGGCCGAAGGCAATACAAAGGACACATATACATTAAGGAGTATAGCCTACAGCAGGGAGGGAAACAGGGCGCAACAACATCAGTCGGGTACATAGTTCGCCACGAGTGCTGCCTCGGCGGCCCTTCTCGCTTCTACAGCAGTGCCCGGTCGCCGTGTGTGCTGGTGAATAATTATAATGTTTACAGTGTTTCAATTGTATTGTTTATGTGTGGTTGTGGGAGTAGACAGCAGTATTCAGTATTAGCATAGTATTCAGTATTGTAGACAGCAGTATCGACTGTAGTACTGCAAATTCCGTAGTACGCCAGTATCGGCAGTATTACTGCACCGGAAAAATACAAAAATACACCATAGTCTATAGCAGAAGTAGCTTCGCGTGGACAAGAGCGTGGCACCTACGCAAACCAAAACTAGTCTTATCTGTCCCTTGTCCCCGGTGTCGGTGTGTTCGACCTGTACGTGTACTCTCTGTGGTACTGCTGTTTCGGTTTCTTTTTTCTCCAGGGTGATGGAACTGCAGGCGGCGAAGCATGTGGTGGAAAAACTGCTGCAGTTTTCCTTCTACACTAGAGGTAAGATGTTCCAGGAGATGATGGCGACCTGTGCAGGAAACACGTCGTACCCAGAGCTGCCGAGTGCGCGTGTGAAACACCTCCTCGTCGAGATGTACTACGCCACGAAGAAAGTGGAAAGTTGACAAGTTAATGTTGGTCAATAGCGTTAACCCTTCGACGGCGAAGTTAAATTTAAGTTTTAGTTCTTGCTGTCAAGTTGTTGATGAGTACAGCAACGACAACGGCTAAATTACGTCCGTCAGTAGAACTGACAGCCATATGGCTAAAAATTACCTTAACTGTTTTTCAACCCCACTACACCGCTGTTTGACCGCAGACAGTCATGGACAACATGTTGGAGGAAGTGAAGAATGCACCGCTGCCCATTCTGCACCACATGATCGACATCTGGACTGAGAAAAGCATCGGGGCGCAAGTTTCTCGGTGTTCATCTTTTCCACATGACTGCCAACTTCGAGACGAAGCACACCCTGCTCTCTGTGAGTAAAGGAACCGGTCTGGTGTTGGACGTAAAACTTGAACACTTGAGACTTGCTAATTTTTCGTTTGAACCGCGTGTAGTGCGTACTCTCCTTGCAATTCTCTCTTTGTTTATGGGTTTAGTGGGGTCTCTATACTAGATTATTGTTAGGGGATGGGTTATCTATTTATTTTTGATGATGGTTGATCTTGTCTCCTGTCTTTGCATTTTGTGTTCCACGGAGAGATGGCAACGGACGTTATTTAATTTTTTTTTTCTTCTTCAGCACTATCAAGGCTAAATCTATATTGCAATTGCTATATTGTCTACCCCAACACCTGACAGAAAGCTTGAATTGAATGCACCATTCTTTCTGTCACCTCCGCCCAGATCAAGCGCTACTTGCCCTCCCAGGGCGCCCTGGGAGAGGCGAAGGCCGCGGAGGTGCTTTTCGAGATCTTCAAGGCTATCCTGCACGAGTTCGGCCTGCGCCCATCGGACATCGCGTCGGGTACTACGGACAGTGGATCGGACGTCAAGTCTGTGAGCATCAACGGCCTCCACCCGCATTACGGGGTTTTGTGGAATTGGTGTTTTTGCCACCTGATGGTCAAGACCGCCGAGGACGGCTTTGGCACTCACGTCGACCCTCAGAAGTCCAAGAACCCGGAAGCGCGCGACATGCTCAAGAACGTCATCAGTATCGTCGGGAACCTCCACAGGTCTTCCAACTTGAAAGCTAACTTCGACGACCTTCAGGTGGAATTGTTGGGCGAGATCTTGAAGATCCCCAACCAAGCTCCCCACGATGGCTCACCCTGGTTCGCACAATGGAGCGCGTCATCCGCTTTTGGCACGTCCTGACGAAGCTCTACTCGCTGCTGCAGCCGCTTTCCTCCGTCACGCGTGATGGCCAGTACGAGGGTGCGCCGATGCTGGCGGACATCCACATGAAGTTTGGCGTGCTCAAGATGGACGTGCTGGACCCGTCGAAGGATCTCAAGGTCTTCGACGTCCCGCCGCTTGGAGCAGGCGGCCTCCCGGACCGCAACGACCAGAAGAAGCTTCTGCCGCACAAGATGGTAGCACACGACGACTTGCACCCCGTGGCACAAAAGGCGCGCCACCAACTCTGACGCGCGCTCGTGACGAGGTTTTACGGTCGTGTATGGGACACACAAATCCTTGATCCCTCCATGCGATGCTGCCTGCCTCCTGACGCCGCCTTTCAGTGAGGGGAACTACCTTTCCACGATGAAGCTTACAGCGGAGGAGGGCGAGTACTTGCCCGCCGGGTCGGACGTGATAGTCCCTACGTCGGACGAAGACGTGCAAGAGAAGCTGGATGAAACTTGGGCCGAAATCAAGAAGCGAGCCGTCACAGCCGTGAAGAAAGCGCAGAGTCGGGCCGTGGGTGATGGTGGGAACGGGGAGGCAGGTCCTTTCAAGCGCGCCCGCACTAGCGGCGCGGGCCCATCTCGTCGCAAGAATCACGACGACGCCTTTGCAGTTTTCGGTCGCAACGAAGTCGCCCCCCAAAGCAGCAACGAAGAAGATTTGGACTTGGTGGAGAAGGGGGTCTCGAGCGAGATCATGCGGTACAAGGGTGTCTTCATGAGGTCAACCGACGTGAGTACAACGAAAACTACGACCATTGTACGTGCACTTGCATGTTTTTATGTTTTGCTTGATGTTTTGTTTTGCATGTCTTTTTTCGCATTTTTGTTTTGTCCTTGTGTTGTCGTAAGCCGCGAATATGAACTCAACACTAACAACACCACACCTCCCGATCCTGTGGCCCTTCCACGTCCTTCCTCTTTCCAGTTGCCGCCCAGCAAAGTCCTCCACTACTGGAAGACCGTAGGGAAACATTCATTCCCCTCACTCAAGTATGTGGCGCAGCAAACTCTCGGCAGTCAAGCCTCCGCCCCTCAGGTCGAGAGAGGCTTCAGCCACTGCGGTCTTTTCTGTGTGGGGAACCGCAGTCAGTCGTGTAGACGAGTACTGGCTGGAAATGGTGATGTTCCTCAAAAGAAACTATTAATACTCGTTGATTCCCGGGTACAATGACATCCCCAGCATCGACTCGAAGGACATTAGGAAGTGCCTCCCTGCAGAGTTCAGCGGAAAAAACGACGATCTCCTGAAAGCAGAGATGGCGCTCGACCCGCTGTCAAACACCACGCCTCCCCAGGAGGATGACGTTGGCGTTGGGGAGGATGGATAGGCTGATGTGATTTTTTGATGACCAGTTGAGGAGGAGGATTGAGGATGAGGATTCAGGATTCGTACCCTAGACTCTCGTACGTTTGAAATTTGAATTTGGGTTGTTGACTTCGACTTTCGACTTCTGTTTCTGCTCTTCTCTTCGTTCTTGCTTTTCGGTCTTCAAAGTAGTGTCCGAGGGACGGGGCGAGGGAGCAGCGTGTACTATGTTTGTATGCTACTGAGAGTGCTGTTGCAGGTGCTTGATGCATGTTTATTGATGCTTTTGGGTTTGTACGTTTTAGTAAAGGTTTCCATACTATACTGATACTGCTGTGCTGGGGGTTTGGTACGGCCCTCGGTACTGCTGTGCTGAGCGCAACAGTACGTTTATTACAGCTTTGGATACTGTACTCTAGTCAACGCAATAGTACGTTTAGTACAGCTCTCGATAATGTATTGTACTAAAGGTTTAGTTCGGGGTTTCGGCCGGTACTGTACTCGACCCAGTACAGTAGTAATGCCGCCGGTCGCCCCGGTGGTCTAGTTGGTAACCTCGAAACCTTCTAGAGGTCAGGTCAGGGGTTCGAATCCCGGCGTAAGCGAGCTTTTCTTGCAAAGTGAGTTTTTCTCTCGCTTCCGCTCCTGGCCTCGTGGATAGCGCTAGTTCGTGTGTACACAGAGGGAAGAGAGTGCTGAACTCTTTCTCGCATTAAAAATCGAAGGCAAAGTACCGCAGGAGGGGAGGGTAGAGAGGGGCTCTTCTGTGTGACCACGGCTTGGTGTACACGGCACTACTAGTAGTAGTGCCGTGAGCGCTGATTTGAAGTGAAGAAAAAAGAAAAGAAAAAAAGAGAGTATTTCACCCGCACTACTGTACTGTACTGGGGTTTTAGTACAGCTCTCCACACTGTGTGCTGTACTGGGGGTTTAGTACGGCTCTCCATACTGTGCTGAGCGCAACAGTACGTTTAGTACAGCTTTCAATACTGTAGTCTACTCAAAACAACAGTACGTTTAGGACAGGTCTCCATACTATACCCGACTCAGTACAGTATCCAGCTTTCCCATACTGCTGTAATGTACTGGGGCTTTAGTGCGGACTTCGATGCTGTACTGCAAATACTGTACTGTACTAAATCAACCCTTGCAATCTGGATGCCCCGTACCCGGAGACACTTCCTCTCACGTGACGAAAATTGCGCTGTTGAATCATTTCTTAAATTTATTATTGGTTTATCCATATTCCAGGCGAGAGGCTAGCGACAACGGAAATCCGTGTTCTTTGGCGTTGAAAAATACTTGCAAGGACGAGGAGGGGTATACCTTGGTAATATAGGCCTTTTTTTTTTAAAGCAACTGGCGCTGCATTTCCTCGCGGTGCTGCTTGCAGCTTGGGAAGGGGAACGCGGTACCCTTCCTTGCATAAATGCATTCAATACTCAGCTGGCGAGAAGAAGAGGGAAATGACGTGACACCGCCGTAAAATTCGAGCCTCCCCCAGGCGTTGTTTCTGAGCCCTCACCTCAAAACCTGTGGACCGCCCTTGGCACTATTTGTAGTTGTACGAACAGAATCCTCCACGGGCCTATCATGTACTTGCGTACATGGCCTGACGCAAGAAAGAGAGTCTTCCCCCTCCGTGGTTTGATTGCTTTTCGTGTGGCGTTCCAAGCAGTGAGGAGCGCGTGAGCGCGTGGAAGGATCTATCGGCCGAGATGCGTCCGGGAGGGCGCCGGAACAGTACCTCACCAATGGACAATAAGCCAGCACCGCTGGATCAACGGGAATCAACTACTTGAATTGTCCAGGCTGGCTGCTGTTGTAACTCTGCCGGTCCAAAGCGAGCCACAGAGAAACCTCGGGCGCGGCAAGCCGTGGTACAGCAGCTTCCCGTCAGCATACGCAACGAAGGTCAGTCCTCAAGAGAGGGAATCGTAACCTGAGAAGGGATTGACGTGACTCTTCCCATGTACGGCTCGTACGCTTTCTGACTGGTCGAGCGGTACTTACCTCTCCAGTGCCCTCTCGCTGATACGCATTCCGAGAACACGGCGCAGCCGCGGTTCTCTGCCAATTTTCGGCCGCCAGGCCGTCCGTTGGGCATGGGCTAAGGTTAGGTTAGGGTGTTGGTTAGGGTAAAGTCGGGTCGGCCAGAGGTGTGTGACATATCCCGTGTACGGATGGGCTACGGCGGCTCAACATCCGTCAGACTTGTGAAGAATCACCAACGGAGGACAAAAAGACCTCCTGTTCATGGCCATCCCTCCACCCACGCCGACCTACATGTGCGCCCGTTTCGGCAGGGCGGCGGAAGGACAAGGGTTCGTTACCGCCGACCACCCGACTGGGTCGCTTGTCAGATAGAGAAATCGGTCGGTTGCTCTTTTGCAGTGGAAACTAACGTCGCCGTACACGAGGCCCGTTGGCAGCGAACGCCTTACCATGCGTCCAAGAGCAAACAAACCTCAAAACACGACTGGCGACTTTTCATTGGTTAGCCGGCTAGCGCGGTCGACGCCAACAATATAATTACACACACGCGGAGCCTAAACAAACACTCCAAGAACTCTTAGTCTAACTGCAGTCATGTCGTGGTTACAAACTTAGCAACAAACCAGCGCGCTTCCAAACAAAACTTTCGCACAGACAAGCACCAAAAGCAACCACAACCACCAGCTGCAACACCATACCCCCACCAAAAAACGCCCCAAGAAAGCCAGCAGTCTCCCCCCCCCAACCCCTCCAAGGTCATCTCACCACAGACCACCCCCCTCGCTGGTCATCCTCGCTATCGCTATCATCATCGTCATCATCGTCGTCATCATCATCCCCGGGCACAAACCAGCCTCCCGTGGTTGCCGAGGGCTTCTTCGCTCCTCCCCCTCCCCCTACGCCGCCCTTCCTGCTCTTGCTCTCTTCCAGCTTCAGGAAGGCGTGGTCGAGGCAGTCGAGGAGGGGTTTGATGACAGCAGACAGGCGGTTGCCGTCGGCGTTGCGGGGTAGTATTCTCCTCTCCTCCGTGAGCTCTTTGTACTTAGAGTTCATACGCGTCTCGAGGCGGTCGAGTTTGGCGGCCGCGCCCGCGTCTGACTTGGGGCGGTCGAGGGTAGCGTAGAAATGCCTGCTTGTCGAAGGAAACCCGGGGGTTAGTCGTGCCACGGTCTGAATCGTTCTTCTTTGTCAGGAAAATCTTCTTCTATTAAGAATATTCTCGTTTGTCGTTAGTTCGACCCCGGGAAGCGTTAGAGCGGGGAAACGCGCGAAACGCACTCTACCACTCTGCTTGGAAATGTAGGGAGCATTAGGTTAAACCTCACGTTTGGATCCGAATGGTCTTCACATTTGCAAACGCAAGTGGTATCGTTTTAGCGGCGTTCATGTGTTGAGTATGATTCGGAAGCGGTCGTCTCCATTAGAGTGAGTGCTGTCCAACTTGTGGGCGCATGTCCTGATAACACCAGTGTGCGCCTCTCTCTGCCATCAACAAATGGGGGTGCTGTAACACTGTAGCAACGTTTCACCAGTGTGTCTACTGTAGACAGGCAGACAGGCTCCAACACCGCAAAACGTAAAGAAATACCGCGGCCCCGATACACCGCGGTGAAAATTGCCTGTCACGGGATTTGGCTGACATGCTAAAAGCCATACATTCCCCAACACTCATTAGGTGCGGCGTCCCGATGAACCGCAGTGATATTTGTCTGTCACTGTACCAAGAGCAATATTTTCGTTGGTCCATCGCTCAGTTATCATACGGGGGGTAGGTGCTGAGGACCAAATGGGGGCATTGGATAGAGGGAAGTGGGGAGGGGCGGGGGCTAGGCTAAGCATTGCGAGGGTAGGCCAAGCGTTGCGAGCCTTCCCGCACTTTCTCCGTCGTACCTGAGGAGCTCCCCGACGATCTGGAAATGGCGGTGCATGCTCCCGATGAAGTCCTCCGGATACCTTCACAACGAGAGACGCGTGTTCGTGGACGAGGAGGTAGGGGTGAGGGTGGGGGACGGGGGGCTTAACAACAAGAACCACGGCTGCGCCCCCACGGTACATTCCGAACAACAGCATGCGGCGAACGAACGAGTGTTGGTCACACGAAAGGATCGCATTTGGCGAACGATGGCTTTCGTGGGAAATACATCAAGTTTCATTTGGCGGACAACATAAGGGTTTCATTCAAGGGAAGCGTGTTGAAGTGTCGCTCAGACAAGCGGTCCAAAGGCTTCCTTAGTCATCCACGCAACCCCCCCCCCCCCCCCCC